TTGACTGTCCATAACTCATGTAAAATTTATTTCAATAAAACCAGTCTTGTGCAAAAAAGACCCTTATATCGATGTTACATAAAAATAACTGAAAAAGTATTGAATACATTGATATGTAATTATTTCATATTACATAACATCCCATAATGTTTATTATGTTTAATAACATAACTAAAGAAATATAGACTAAATATGAGGCTTGTAGAAATAGTCTGTACTCATATAAATGTAAAAATGCAGAAAGATTCTAAAGTAGAGTAAGCATCTTAGTGGAAATAAGAGAGATCTGAACATTTTACATGATGCATATGGATTGACTCATAATTTGGAAAAGTAATTTACGTAGACTATAGGTATGAATAGTAAAGCAATATGAATGAAAGAAAATATAATTCTTGGGAGAAAAATGTTCTGGTTCCAAAAGCTTATTATGATGCCCATTTTTCATATGTTGAAAGTAAGGGGGTAAAGACACTTGGTGAAATCATTGAGTAGTGCGTTTTAATTAATAACAAGACCTACACTAGATTCCTTGACTTTAGCTGTCTGGAATGACCGTTTGACATGCTTGCCAAACACCAGTTTAGGGTAACTCAGGGCTGTCAGGAGTCATCTCTGGAAATCAGTTACTGTCTTTCCCTCCTATTCTTTCCTGCCTTGGTGCATCTCCCTACTTTTGAGTGGAAAGAAAACTTAGATCTTTGAGTGATTTTTTTTTTTTAATTGAAGTGTAGTTGACATATGATGTTGTGTTAGTTACAGGTGTATAGCACAGTGATTCAGTTATACATGTATTCATTCTTTTTCAGAGTCTTTATAGCTTATTGCAGAATATTGAGTAGAGTTCCTGTGCTCCTCGGTAGGTTATCTTCCTTATAGTGTCTGTATGTTAACCCCAAGCTGCTAATTTATCCCTCCCCCCCACATTTCCCCTTTGGTAACTGAAAATTTGTTTTTGAAACCTGTAGAGTCTGTTTCTGTTTTATAAAGAAGTTCATTTGTATTATTTTTAAAAATTAGATTCCACATATGAGTGATATATGTGATATTTGCCTTTCTGTCTAACTTAGTTCTCTTAGTGTGATAATCTCTAAGTCCATCCATGTTGCTGCAAATGGCATTATTTCATTCTTTTTTATGGCTGAGTAATATTTCATTGTATACACATACCACATGTTTGTACTTTCCTCTGTCAATGGACATTTAGATTGCTTCCATGTCTTGGGTATTGTAAATTGTTCTCCTGTGCGCGTTGGGGTGCATGTATCTTTTAGAAGTATGTTTTACATCAGGTGTATGTCTAGGAATGGGATTGCTGGATCATATGGTAGCTCTATTTTTAATTTTTTAGGGAAATACCATACTGTTTTCCAGCTTTCCTGGTGGTTCAGTGGTAAAGAATCTGCCTGCCAACGCAGGAGATGTGGGTTCAGTCTCAGGGTTGGGAAGATCCCCTAGAGAAGGAAATGGCAACCCACTCCAGTACTCTTGCCGGGAAACTCCCATGGACAGAGGGGCCTGGTAGACTATAGTCCATAGGATCACAAAGGGTCAAACATGACTGAGCGACCGAACACACATACTGTTCTCCACAGTGGCTGTACCAATTTACATTCCCATCAACAGTGTAGGAGGGTTCCCTTTTCTTCCCACGCTCTCCAGCATTTATTGTCTGTAGATTTTTTTGATGATGTCACACTTTCTGACCCGTGTGATGTGATACCTCATTGAAGTTTTGACTTGCATTTCTCTAATAATTAGTGATGTTGAACAGTTTGTCATGTGCTTTTTGGCCATCTGTGTGTCTTCTTAGTTATTGTTCTGCAGTGTACATAGGTTTAAATGCTTATTTTATGGTATGTATATTGGTTTTATTTCTAAAAATTAGGAAATTATATCTAAGCTTTAAAATTTGAAATGGTGCCAAACTTTAGTGTTGGTAGGCAACTCAAATATCTCTGCTTAGAGTCTCCAGCTGTGTCTTCAGAATGAAAAATTGAGATGCTTCTGTCATTTTATTGCAGTGTAATATACATTACAGGAGAAGAAAATTACAGTTGAGTAGGCCTTAGCACCACTCATAATTCTTAAGAAAGAAAGCAGCAGAACCCTGGTACTGGGACCAAAGAAGATATGATGTTACGTAGATGAACTTGCCTTGACTGTGGAATTCACCAGGGGGACCCAAGGCTGAGCCTGCACTGGTAGCGGTGTGGCTTTGAGGGAAGGATGGACACTGTCTGGGGTTAGGATTTCAGTCTTTACTAATCAGCTGCTACACCACAATCCATTTTCACTTGTAACTGGTCAACCCCAGGTAGCTCCTGTAACTCAGGTACTAGTGATGAATTGGTCCAAAATAGATCTGGTTCTCACTGAGAGCATGTTTATTCTTGTGACTTTCTGAATATATTTGGTAACCTCCTGAAGGGACCAATGGTCAACACTGGAACTCAAGCAGCTAGGATTGTAAGGCCAGCTCTTTTACAAATGCACTATACTGTCCTGAGAAAAATCACTTCACTTTGGGGGAGTCTCATTTTTCCCACCTGCCAAAAATAGAGTTGGGGAAGACAATCTTTGAGGCTGATCCCCACTTTTAAGATTTAATGATTTGCCTTCCACTAGGAGCCCCCTTTTTAAAAACAATTTTAATTAAAAATATTTTAATCTCCTTTTTATTTTTGGCTGTGCTAGGTCTTTGTTGCTGCTCAGGCTTTTTCTCTGGTTGTGGTGCGCAGGTTTCTCATTGTGGTGGCTTCTCTCGTGGAACATGGGCTCTAGGGCACACAAGCTTCAGAAGCTACGGCACGTGGGTGCAGTAGTTATGGCTGCTGGCCTCCAAAGCCCAGGCTCAATAGTTGTGGCATAGGAGCTTTAGTTGCTATGAGGCATATGGGATCTCCCGGGACCAGAGATCGAACCAGTGCGTCCTGAACTGGCAGATGGATTCTTTACCACTGAGGCATCAGGGAAGCCCTGAACTCCTTTTTATGTTAATGATCCAGCATGCCTTCCCCACCTCACTGATCACCCAGCTTCCAGGTGTTTATGGGCTGTGGGACCCCCCTCATTTCTCTTACATGCTGTTTCTTAGGCATGTATTTGTTCTGTCTTGTCCTGCTATTCATTTTAAGTCTAATAGCAGCTTGTCTAATACAGGTATGTAGACTGTGCTCAAGTCTGTGAAAAATTTACCCACACATTTGTGTTGTGTTCCCAGTAGTTATCTCTGTGCTGAGTTCTTACGAATATTATTTCTGATATTGCCTTGGAAGATTAAACTTACATCATAAAAAATTGCATGGTCTAGAAATGCAAATCAAAAATACTATAAGATATCACCTTACACCATTGATACGATGATTACCTATTAAAAAAACCCCAGAAAATAAATGAAATAAATGTTGGCTAGAATGTGAAGAAATTGGAATCCTTATGTTGGGATTGTAAAATGGTGCAGTTACGAAACAGTTTGGAGGTTCCTCAAAAAATTAAAATAGAATTACCATATGATCTTGCAGTTCCACTTCTGAGTATATATCCAAAAGAGTTGCAAGCAGAGTCTCAAGAGAGATTTGTGCACCCAAGTTCACAGAAGCAGCAGTTCCAACATCCAAGAGGTGGAAGCAACCCAAGTGTCTATCAACAGATGATTGGATAAACAAAATATGCTACATACATAGAGTGGAATATTATTCAGCCCCACAAAGGAAGTGAAATCCTGTCAACATGGGTGAACTTTGAGGGTATTATGCTAAGTGAGATGAACCAGTTACAAGAAGACAAACACTATATAATTCCACATATATGAGATACCTAGTCAGATTTAAAGAAACAGACAGAAGAATGTTGGTTAGCAGGGCCCAGGGGGAAGGAGAAACGGGGAGTTGTTGTTTAATGGTTACAAAGCTTCAGTTTTGCAAAATGAAGTAGTTGTAGAGATTGCCCCGGAGGGAGCAGCCTGCAGGCTGGGGCTGGACCAGACCAACCCTGTGCTTGCAGAAATCACTGACATCGATGAGGGGGGCAGACGGATGGAGAAGGGGACAAGGGTAAGGGAAAAGGAGCATTTGCTGTAAGTGACTTTTGCTTTCATTTTAGCCACGTAAACAGGAGGATTCCTGTTTCTACAATTAAAAGAAAATGTGAGAATGAGTCTTAAAATAGTTCTCATTAATCAGAACAGCAAACTTGTACAAAAACAACTGCATTTCAGAATCTTGCTGAGAATTCATGCACAGGCTTCCACCCTTGGTCCTTCAGAGCAGGGTCTCCCCAACCCTGATGATTTTGACTGTGCAACCCTATCAATGAGAAACTGAACGCACATGCCAAATGGCTGTGTATTTATTTATCACATCACTATCCCATTCTACTAATAACATACATTACAAAACATGTGACAAGAAATAGTAAAGTACAAAGAATAAGTTAAATGGACCTTGGAAGGAAAACTGCTGACCGTGGTAGAACTTTCTGCCTCACCCCTCAACTGTGTGTTAGCACCTCAGTGGAGACCTCTGACCTAGAACCCAGATTTTCAGGCAAATGCTTTGAACAGTAAACACCTCCACAGACTGACAACAGAGGGTCTGTGCAAAATTTTCTGGTGAGAGGGGCCTGGGGTTTCATGAAATTTCCAAATGGTTCCATGGGCCATAAATGCCTCAGTCTCAGTTCTGTAGAGAATGAATGAAATTGCAGTGTTTTTGTGTTGTTTTTTTTTTTCCCATTGAGGTGAGCTTTACATTATATTAACCATTTTTAAAGCAAACAATGCAGTGGCATTTGGTGCATTCACAGTGTTGTGCAGCCATCACCTCTAAAACATTTCTGTCACCCCCCAAAAAAACCATATAGATTATGTAGTCATTCACCATTTCCCCTTTCCCCATCCTTTTTTTAAAATATAAATTTGTTTATTTTAATTGGAGGCTAATTACTTTACAATATTGTATTGGTTTTGCCATACATTGACATGAATCCGCCACGGGTGTACATGTGTTCCCCATCCTGAACCCCCCTCCCACCTTTTTCCCCATCCTTTGATTGGCATCCCCAAGTCTACTTCCTGTCTCTAGATTTACCTAACCTGAATATTTTGCATCAGTGGGATTATACAGTAGATGACTGTCTGATTTTTTAAACTCACTGATCAAGCTTTTGAGGCTCAGATAGTGACTTTTACCACAATTACAGTTATGAGGATGATTATAATTACAATTAAAATTAGGATAAAACAGCAGCAACGCAGGCCTGTGCTCCTGGGATGCTGGGCTGGATGGGAATAGAAGCTCTGATCGCAGGAGGAATCATGGTCTCTTCTCTCCCTCTGGAAACTGGTGTTTGTTCTTGGGCTCCAGGCAGTAGGGAGGCTCTCAGCTGGTGTGGGCTCAGGAAACCACGATCTGGGTAATACCTTCTTTTTCTTCACTGCCTCCCCTCTGGTGCTCCCACTCATGGGAGAAGGCATTTCAGCAGTGATCCCGAGGGTGGGTGAGCTTATTGTGGGAAATGACAGGGCTATAGGGGACTGCACGGCCAGACCTACATCATTCTGGACACAAAAGCCCTGCAGACAAGCCTCACAGTTGTCACTGTTATGTGGCCCTTTGAGAGCAGCGTCCTTGATCATAGGACTCTTCACGAACTTAATTCCTTCTCTATAGCATTTCTTCAGAATTTGCAACACCAGGTTGTTCAGGATCCTTGAGATGTTCTCTTCTGTGAACTGGGGAACCTCAAACGAAGGCTGGGAGCACTTCTGACATCTCTGGGCAAAGACTCTCATCTTCACCTGCCCCCTGGATTCCCCCTTACTCCAGTGCATGTGGAAAAGGACCTGAACTTGGGCGGAGGCCCAATTTCGAGAGCACAGGGAGCACTGGAACCTAAGGAGACAGAAGACAAGACCTATTACTTGGCTCAATGTGCCCAAGTTGGGGGCTGTGTGGGAACGACACACAGAGACGTGATTTGATATGGGTCACGGGTTAGCGGGGAAGAAATCCTGAGCCCCACGTTCCTATCTCCATTGTGCCACTGACATGCAGTGTGACCCACGGGTATGTTTGCCATGAAAAGAGCAAATCACAAACCCTTGAAGCTGGAAGGGACTTCAGGCAAATTCCAAGCCCAGTGTGATCATTTTAGAGATGAGGCACACCCTGGACTTGTGTCATGCCCGGAGACCCAGCAGGTGGAAGAGCCAAGACTGGAGCGCCAGTCTCTTGACCCCAAACCAAGGCTTCCTCACATGTAGATACAAGTGGATCAGAGGTTACGTGTGCAAGAGTCCCAAGAACCCTGAACTGAAATCCACAAATAGATACCAGTGGATGTGGATAAGTGCTGCAGTCTGAATGTTGTGTACCCCCCAAATTCCCATGTTGGGATCCTAACACCCAAGGTGATGGTGTTAGAAAGTGGAGCCTTTGGGAGGTGATTAAGATGTAAGGGCGGAGCCCTGGGGAATGAGATTAGCGCTCCTACAGAAGCAAGCCCGCAGAGCACCTTAGCTCCTTCTGCCACATAAGGACACAACAAGAAGCCTGTGGCCCAGAAGAGCAGCTAGCACCTTGATCTTGGACTTTCAGCCTCCAGACTGTGAGCAGTGAGCTGAGACTCTGCTCCGATGCTCCTGGCCTGGGAAAACATGCACCACCAGGAGAGAAGAGCTCTGCTTCCTCAGCCTGGACCCTCTCACGGAGAAGGGATTGAGCACGGCCCCAGCCCCAGGATAGAGTCCCAGGTCCCCACCCCCAATCCTTGAGGTTCCACTCTCCCACCTGGAAAAGAGAGGGTTAGACTTCGAATGACCTCAGAGGGTCCCATTTTAAAAAAGACTCCATCAGACTTCCGCAGTGGTGCAGTGGATAGGAATCCGCCTGCCAGTGCAGGGGTCATGGGTTCAGTCCCTGGTTGGGGAAGATCCCACTTGCCTCAGAGCATCTAAAGCCTGTGTGCCACGACTGCTGAGTCCATATGCTGCAGCTACTGAAGCCCGCATGCCTACGGCCTGTGCTCTGCAAGAAGAGAGCCCACTGCGCTGAGAAGCCTGTACAAAAGCAGTGAAGACCCAGCACAGGCAAAAATAAATAAATAGGTAAAATTCAGTTTTAAAAAATTAAACTCCATCAGCTCGGAGGAGAGAGGGGAAAGGTTTGCTGTGTGCTGCCCAGCTCCCCACTGCCCTCCGCCCCTTCTCTGAGGGGGTCTTAGCACACAGGGTCTCTCCCCCGCAGACTCTGTGTTGGATCCCAGGTGTCCCCAAAGCAGGAAGCATGTGTCCTGAGCCTTGCTCATCCAGCTCTCGCGCAGTTGAGCGCAATAGCCTCCGTTCCTCCCCTTCTCTTTTCCTCCCTTCTTCTCACCCTCACCACTCACAGCTTGTTTTTTCTCTTTCTGAGCATTAGCTCAGTCTTGCTTTCATTTTGTGGTTCAGTGTAATAAGGACAAAAATTTTAAATGAAGCTAAAGCATCTTGGATGATGGGCACCTCCCTGTAATCTCCAATTTACAAGCATGAGCAGAGGAAAAGTTACGAGAGTATGAAGTAAGAAGAAATGAGCAAGAATTTTCTGGAATATTACCATCGCACTCCCTACTCACCAGGCGAAGGTCCACTGCTGGTATTGTGCCCACCCTGGCTTCAGGATGTTAGGAAGAAGGCTTTTGTCCAGTGTGAGTTGCCATGTGTGCCACGGCTTCACCTCCCGAATTAATTCCTGGAACACTCTCTTCCACACCTTCATGTCCAGATCCATCTCTGCTGTCGCAGTGAGCTGGGTGTGGTGGTGTCTCCCCGGCTCTGACGGATCTGGAGTGCGAGGTGAGGTTTCCTACTTTAGAAGAGCTCAGATCCACTCTCTCCTTATGTCCCTGGACCGGGCTCCTGAACCAGATCTTTGCCTCAGGGACAAAGGTCAGTTGATTCTGGCTCAGTTTCAAGTACAGGACGTGGATCCACGGGGGATTTTAAAAGAGGCGGAATGTGTGGCTTCGTCCAGCGAAACATTACCAAAGGAATTGCCCTGGACTCCATCCGGAGGGGCGAGGCTCAACCTGACTCTGCTGTTTGCGCACCTTTAAGTGGGAACACACCTTTATATCTCCAAAGCCCTGTTAGTGGTGGAGACAGGCTCAGTTGCCCTTCCTCATTCTAACATTTGAAAGTGCTTATCAACTGGGCTGCTGTCCTCAAAATCCGGGAGGAGAGACACAAAGCAAGACACAGCCATCCAGGGCCCTTGTTCGAATGCCTGTGCCTCTGCATCCTTGCTCTTCTCGTCTACTTCCTTGCTTGTGCCAAGCCTCTGGGGGACGGTGTTTCACAGACACTAGGCATCCAAGCCTACTCTTCCACCCACTGGAGACAAAAGCTCCTGCAGTTCCTGTGCCCTGGAGATGAGGCTACAAGGTCCCCATGTGGGTGGGAGGGCATGGCCACACCCAGAGGTGCTTCATCCCCTACTTCCTTCAGGAGAGGCTTGGGGCCCTCTGAGACCCGAGGTACCAAACTACAGAGCTCCCCACCTGCTCTGGTTTGAATATGGAGACCCTCAAAGTGAGCAAAAATACTGGAGTGGGTTGCCATTCCCTTCTCTAGGGGATCTTGCCAACCCAGGGATAGAACCCAGGTCTCCTGCGTTGCAGGCGGATTCCTTACCATCTGAGCCACCAGGGAAGGCCCTTTGTCCTCTCTTGGAGCATCTTTATTTGTGTTTTGAGTTTTATTTTTCCATAATTCTGTTAACGTTGAAAAAAAAAAGTGAAAAAGCAAACAACCATGATTTTTTATTTATTTGGCTACACCAGGTCTTGGGGCACACATAATCTTTTAACTGTGGCATGTGGGATCCAGTTCCCTGACCAGAGATCGAACACAGGCCCCCTGCATTGGGAGCATAGAGTCTTAGCCTTTGGACCACCAGGGAAGTCCCCTATTATATTTTTAATAAATGTTATCATTAAAACGTCTAACACAGCCCTCTGTGTTAGAGAAATTAAACAAGGAGTCCGCCAGGACGAGGTGGTCGTGCATGGTAGCCTTAGAAAGCAAAGTGAAACCTCAGCCAGAAGTAACACGCTGGAATCCGAGAAAATGAAACTGAAGAATGACCAGCCGCAAGCGGCCAAGTAGACTTTGTCATATTAGGCCACCGCCCAAGCTATAGCCAATCAGATAATTTCCTTGTTTAGCTTCTGTGTCTTCTCTATAAAAGCCCCCAGCCTCTGTCCGTGGAGCACACCCAGCCAACTTCAGCTTAGAGCTGCCTGATTCCAGCTAATATATGCTCAAAATCTTGAAAATGTTGATGTGCCTCCGTTTATCTTTTAACATGTCTCTTCCCCAGTAGTATGCATGTGAGATTCATCCATGTCGTGCCATGTCGGCATAATTTTTTGATTCTCCATCTTACATATTCCATTGGATGAAAATTGCAGTGTATTTGGCCACACCAATATTTGCTTAATTACAAATAGTGGGAATGTGTGTATTCTTAAGATATGTTTTCTCATGCATTTCTGTTGGTGTATGGTCAGGGTGTTCTCTTGCTCTCTGTACATCTTCTCTCCGACCAGTACCTACTTCACCTGTACCCTGCTTACGTGACTGAACTTCCTGCACTGTTGTCTCCACTCCAACTGCTGATTGTTCTTATCAAAGGGGTGGTGAGGGGTGTGCCTCTCCATTGGTTTTCCTGGTAATTACTGAGCCCACCTGACGATCAATCTTCCTCCTGGGAGCAAAGACTGTCACCACGTTCTGCCCACCTTTCACCACACATGCTGGGGTGTTGCTCCCAGATCTTGCTTCAGACAGGTAAGCTCCCCCATCCTTTAAACTGCTGGTGTCTCTGTTCCTGACTCCAGGCTTTCTTTGGTATTGAGGTGGGGCAAGCACAGGCCTTGCAGGTCTGTGGGGTGCAGCCCACCAGTTGGGTAGACATACCAGCTTTTTTTTTTTTTGAAAGTTTGAGTATTTCAATTGCTCTAATCCTCGCCAGCACTTGGATTTGTCCAGCCACCAGCCCAGGGGCACAGCCACCAGCCTGAGCCTGCATTTCTCATCTCACTGGCCTTGGCCCGAAGCGGCCGTGATGGGGCAGCTTTATTAAATCAGGACACGTTTCCCTGGAGCCAAGGCTAACTGTCTCTCCCCTAGGGAGTCCTCCTAGGGTAGCAGAAGAGTTAATAAATAATCAATAATATAAGAGTAACTCTAAGGTATAAGGAAACTACATAGTATTATAGGGCTGAGGGAGAATGCCGAAGAGAGAACAAACTTGCAAGGGGTCTGGGTCTCCCTGGAGAAGGTGTGGTCAGTCCAGGGACAGCAGAGATGGCCACCAGGAGCCACGGGGCCAGGAGGCCTTCTGAGTGCCTGAACCGTGTGGAGCCTTGCCCTGCGGCTGCAGCTCAGTGTGTGACCCTGGGCTTGGAGAGGAAGTCTGGGGGAGTTCAGAGCCGGCCACATAGGCTGCGCGGGACTCCCAGATCTCTGTGGACAGGCCTCTGGAAAAGGCCATCACCAGACCCAGGCTACAAATGGGCAGCCCAGACCGCCTGCGCTCAGGCCCACCCTGCCCTCCCCCCGCCAGCTCTGGAAATGGCAGAATGCCTTTCTCCTGCTGTGTTCTTCCAGCTCCCCCTACTGAGAAAGCTTACCGTCGCGCTCCCTCTAAAGGAGTTCCAGCTCAGAGCACGCGCTGACCGCTGATGGTGCATTCTGAACTGGGAGGCAGTAAGCTGATGACTGACACAACTGTATACAAATGCATGACAGGGCCCCATTGAAGCAGCTGACTGGGAAAGGGGCTGATCTGAATCACTGGAGCAAACTGTTTTGCCTGGAAATCATAAGGCTAAAGATGAAAGGAGCTGGAACGAGTGTACTCTAATTGTAACTGGTAAGCATGTTTTCTAGAGGGCTGCAATTCCAAAATTGCCTCACAGGTGTGCTGGGATAGAACAAAGACGTAGATGGATGATAGAAGGTTGTTTGTAACGCAGGAGAGGGAAGTTACACACCAGGAAGGAAGGCTGGAGTGAATCCTGAGGACGGCTTAGATCGTATGCAGCTCAGTACGCACTCAGCCGGGTAGATACAGAAACAATGTGAGTACATCTGTGCACGGGATTTACACCTGTTACCTTTTCCTTTGGTACCTCCCTCTCTTGGGATGGGCCAGCAGCAATAAGAACACCTGGTGTTAAGACTTTGGTTTCTGATTCTCATTGTGCAGTAAAAGGAAGGAAGACTCCTTGGTAAAATAGCTGATTGTAGGCTTCGGGCAGGAAACATACAAGGTCAGCCTGTAGCATCTTGTGGTGCCAGAAAATAAGGAAGTTCTCAAAAAAACAAAAGGATGGGGGCATGCCAAAAGGATGTGGGAACCAACTTGAAACAGATCCCAGCTGGCTAAAGCTGGGGCTAACATTTCTCTAATGGGCCAGACACTGTGCCAAGTTTTTTTTTAAAAAATTATCGAATCCTCTCTACAGCCTTGGGAGGTTATTTCTCCCATTTTGGAGATGAGAAAACTTGAGGTCCAGAGAGGTGAATTGAAAATGCCTCTCCTGTAGCCCAGGCGTTGAAAGCCGAAGGCTGCCGTTTGTCTTGCGGCTGGTTGGTGTGGCCCCCAGGTGCCAGGTGACTGGCTCCTCTGCGACCCCTTCCTCTGGCTCCCCTTCCCAACCCTGACATCATTTCTCCCTTGGGCTGTCCTCCCCCCAGCCTGAAAAGGCTCTGCTGTGGGTGAGGAAGCAGGAAGCCAGGCTGCTTCCTTGTTCCTGCCTGGCCTGAGGGTGGGGGTGGGGCGTCTGTCTGTGTGGCTTCCAGGGGTGGGCTTTCCCTGCGGAGCGGCTGGCCCCAGGTGGAGGGCAGCTGCTCCCCGAAGCAGCATCCGCTCGTCACGTAACCCAGCCATCTGTGCTCCTTCCTCCCCCTCACTTCTAGAGGACAGGATGGCCTTCTCCCCTTGTCCTTCCTCTTCCCGCTGTGACAAGCCTTAAAGGATTCTGAGGAAGCTTCAGCAGGGCAGTTTCTCTTTTAAGAACTTTATGTGGAGGGCAGCAGCTCTGGTGTGTATCTCATTGACGTCCTCCCAGCTTCAACTCAGTCCACTGCCTCAGCCCCTCACCCCCATCCCCACCTCCCTGGAGCCCAGGATGCCTTGGTTCCCAACTAGCTGATGTTAGCCACAGCTAACCCGCTGCAAGTGGCCAGCATCACAGCAGTGAACCCTGACCCAAAACTTTGAGGAAGACGATGTAGGAAGAACCACTTTACGAGTGTGACTGCCAACATGCGTGGGAGCAAAGGTGCCAGTCAGCATGAGTGGGTCCTGTGAAGAGTCTGGACACAAGGAGGGTGTGGCTTGCTGGCTTCCTAGGGGGCAGGTGCCTCCTGTAGTCCTCTCCTCTGAGGGTGCCCCTCCTCACCTTAGGAGCCCCGTGAGTCCTCAGAGCCGCACCCCACCCCCGCCGGGCTCAGCCCTGACCTCAGCTCCCGTTAGTGACCGACGTTAAGCCCACGGTGGCCCCTCGCTGCCAGCAGCAGGAAGGACAGGAAGGAGCTGTGCGGACATGCTGTGTGGCACGGCTCCCTGCTTCCCACCAGTTCTCCGTCTTTGCCCCGCACCCCGTTCCTGCTCACACTTGCTTGGAGAGCTCTGCTTCCCTCCCCAGTGGACAGTGTCTTGCAGCCCTTGTGGCTGGTCTGGGTGAGCCCAGAGCACGGCCGGAATCCAGGGGAACATCCTGGAGCCCAGCCAGCAAACCTTGTTGTCAGCCTCCAGGCTGCCTGCCTCTGACTCAGCCAGCCTGTACCCCTGAACTCTCTGCTGCCAGCTTCCCGGATCCCTGTTCCAGCTCAGCACAGGACTGAGGTCGGCCCAATCAAGAACTGAACCTACAGAGAGAAAGGAGGAAGGCTGGCTCCCGTGGGGCTGGCAGGGGCTGGGGAGAGCTGGGGTCTGGCCGGGGAGGAAGCGTGGCCTTGGGCCAGGCCCGGGCGTCATGGAGACTCTTTCCAGTTGGGAGCTCTTCAGCAGCCCCCGAGGGCGTGGAACAGTTGGCCTCTCTGCCCCAGGGTGGCAGGTTCTTGCCCCG